TATGCTTTAATATCTGAATTTCCTGTATTGGGATCAAGTCCAAAAATTTAAACTGATGTAAAGATGTAATTAATTTCTTTAACCTTTATGTAATTCTAACTATTTAAGTATGGGATAGGTAGAAGATCGCGCGCCGCATAGCGGTAGATAAAGGAATTATAGCGATTATTAAATAATATTTTTTATAACCGTTCTGGAATATTGCTGCAACATTCTCATAAAATGTTACATTTGCATGTTTCTGTAATGTCTCTACAATGTTACATTGTAACTTGCAAGACTGGAACGTTGCTGCAATGTAATTGCAATGATCTGTGCTGTATGGGATATTACATAAAAATATATTAGGTTAGGTAAGATTAGGAAAATTTTATACATTTTTTTTCATTAATTATCGTAAAATTTTACACTTATTATTTATGTATTTTACATATTTTTTTACAGCGTATTACTGAAAAAAGGCTTTAGTAATAAATATACTAGGATTTAATAACAATTTTAATGATTTGGGTAAACAGTGCTAATTAAATGCTTGGTACAACAATTATAAATAGAATTAATTGGATAAATAAAATAATTAATTCAGAAAATCTAAATTTAATTCAATCAATTACTACATTTAGTTTTTTGAACAAAACTTTAATAATTGTATAAATATGATGTTTTTTTAAATCGGCCAACAGAGCCAAAGCACAAAAAATTAATTATTCGGAACTGTATCTCTTGGTTCAAGATCACTAAGTTCTATATATAAATTAATCTCGAAACTTACATATGGAGAAATATTTCTCCATATGTAAGTTTCGAGATTAATTTATATATGGAACTTAGTGATCTCAAACCAAGAGATACAGTTCCGAATAATTAATTTTTCGTGCTTTGGCTCTGTTGGCCGATTTAAAAAAACATCATATTTATATTCTTAATATTGAGAGCCGATAAAAATATTTCTTTCTGATTTAATAATTGTAATTAAATTTTGATAGCAAAATATAAAATATTTAATAAGTATTACCAGATATTTAGTAATTATTACTAAATCATAATAACAAGAAATTAAAAATATGATAAATATATAAATATACATATGTATATATTCGAAGCCATATAGCTTCGAATTTATTGCATAGTTTCGAACTTTCTATAATTACTTTAAAAAATAAAATAGTACTTTCAAGCAGACTCGAATCTGGATCATGTTCGAATCTTTTATGAGTATTTGTGTGTGTTAGGAGAGGATATATAGATCAATAGGTATGTATATGTGTAGCAAGTATCATAAATATATTTTTTGTCTTAGAGTTTGAGTATTACTTATAAAGATGTAAAAGATTCGATTCTTTACGATAGAAAGTACTTCTAAGTACTATTTCAAATCTTGCAGGTTTTAAATCTTGCACATTGAATCTAAAATTCAAACATGACTGATCTAGATTCGATTACTTCGCAAGAGTATAATATGTGAAATATTATTTCTCATGAATATTATTTGTTCGGAAATTCTCATGGTATTACTCGAATCTTAAAAAAAAATAAAAAAAATTGCTTATTGGATTTTTAAGTACATATTAAACTTGATCCTGTTCTTAATAAATCAGGGACGAAGATACATCTTACTTTATTATTACATAGTTGAAATTTTGTGTTTTTTAAATAAAAATAGTCCCCGTTAAAATTTTTGTGTTAAATATTTAACACATTTATGCGTTAATTTAACATATTGTTGTTGTGTTAATTGAACTCTTAAATATTAAATTAAAACAATTAATAAAACAATTAAAAAAAGATGTAAAAATACCAAAGTGCATCTATTTTTAATTTTACACAATAAATATGTTCTGCTTTATTAATGACAAGATTTATCAGTTAAAATTTACAGAAAAAATGTTGATTTTCTATTTTATAATATAAGTGAGGATGATAAAATCTAAAATTAATATATTTTTAAAAACACATAACATACACCTCCTTAATATTCTTATTATTAATATATTTTTAGTTAATTTTACATTAAAACTATATTAATTTTACACAAAATTTATTTTAAATTGAAAAAGTTTGTTAACTTGATTAATCCTTTGAATTATTACTATTTTGTCAATTGAACATAGATTAGTATTTAAATCAAATATACAAACCGTTTTATTAGTTTTAATGTTATATTTAATTCAGATATTTTTATATGCTCAATTAACAAAATAATATTTACATTAGAAATATATAATTCCGCCTCCTACATAAATACAACATATATATATATATATATATGGCTTATTGGCCATGCCGCGATGTTCTTTGCGTCGTACAAAAAATTAATTTTTCCGTTGCTTTAAGAATAGTATCCTTGGTTTGAATCTCTAATTCCTGTAATACCCCCTTAATTTAAATCCTCTTTCAAGCTACAAGGCGAGAAAAATATTGGTCCGAAAGTCGGCTGAATCGGGAAAATAATATTTAGTTGAAAAATTTAACCAAGTTAACTAATTTTTTCTCAATGCATTTAACATATCATGTTAATTTAACACAAAAATTTAACACAAATTCTACAACTGTAAAAAATAAAATGTCCAAAAATGTTTAGTCGATTCCTCCGAAATGATCAAACTTAAGGAGATGCCGGAGTGATGACCTAACTCCGATAGGTTAGCACCACACATATCTAAACATATGCACGTATACAACACATATGCGTGAAAATTTTCTGCACCGTTTTCTTATTTATTAGGCTTCTAAACTTATATTTAAAAGTTTACTAATACTTCTTCATTCAATTTCTAGTCGGAACCTATCTTATTTTGTACGTACAAACAACAAAACTTTTATATTAAACAATTATTTTTTCGATCTGACGACAGAAGTCAATAAAGAAAAGTTTTTAAATTTTTTCTTATTTCTAACATAAAAGTCGGTAGGTTCCCACTTTGTTTCTGTACGTACTTTATTTGTGAAAAAGCATTTAGTATTTTATTAAACTAATAAAAAGTTTTCGGTGCAGAAAGATTTATAATCATCCGATCGATAAAACAGACTCATCCGGCATCCCCTTAATAATCTACGAACGGAGTCAATCTCTCGTTAGTCCTCGTGTAACTTTGATCAGCTCGAAGTCTCGTCCTGAGAAGTTGACCCGGTCTTCACCTGACTGAACGGTATCGATTATCGTCGAAGATGTTCTTGTTTCACGGCGATGAAATACATCCGTCGTCGGGGAAGGGAAGGATTTCGCTTTCTCGCGCGAGTTCGAGACGTTTTACTGGATGTAGGGCGCGATGGAAATACAAAATCAGGTTCCGGGAAAGCTTTCTCGAATGGCGGTGGCGCATATATATATATATATAGGTATGCGCACATATATCTTATATTGGACAGCGTCAGGAAATTAAGCGAGCCGATCTCAAGGGCGACGTTTCGGACCTCAAACTTCGGCCGGGGGGAACTTTTCTCGGCATTGTGCCTGGATTTATCTCTTCCCGAAGTGTCGAACTGCTTTCTGGAGGGGGAGAAGAGCCACGGAAACCAAGAAATATATTATTGCCGACCGTGACTGGTGTACAAACGTTGTTTGCCCGTCAAAGAGACAGAGAGCTGAAGAGGAAGATGGGATGAGGAAACCAGACATGGATGATCGATGACAATAATTGGATTAAATTATCGTCATTCGCAGTGTAGTGGCTGAAGCCGTGGGCAATGACTTTGAACGCGGCTCAGCCGTAGGCAATGGTTTTGAATGCGGCTTATTCACTCACCGCGTCGCCACTAGATGGCGGCGTGGGAAATCGGCCGCTTTCCGCACAGAAAACACGCACACAAAGTGCCACTTTGCCTGCACGTGTAATACAAAAAAATTGCATTTACTCTTCTTGTGAATAAACACTGGAATTTATCTGCAATTTTATTTAATATCCTTAATAACACAGCACAACATATTCGAAAGATATTCAGAGGATATTCAAAGGATATCCAAAGGATATTCGAACATCCTCAAGATGTTCTCTGAACGTCTTCGGGATACGTGTGCTGTTAGGCATAAAAATATTAAAATAAAATATTTAAAAAATATTAAAAATATTAAAATAAAATAAAATAATAAAATATTAAAATAAAAAAATAATTAAAAATTGAATTTAAAAAATTAAGAAAGAATAATGTAATAGGAAACAATGTAATCATGCCCTTCCCTGGAAAAAATTCCTGCACACTGAGAAAAAAATGTTGATTCAATTGAACGTCGACGTCACGGGCTGCCACAAACATATGCAGTTGATTCATCAGTATTTTGTTAATAATATGACATAATTAATCAAATCAAGATATCATGCTTTTGTTTATACTGCATATGTTAAACAAACATATAAACAAAAGCATGACATCTTGATTTGATTAATTATGTCATTGAATTAACAAAATACTGATGAATCAACTGCATATGTTTGTGGCAGCCCGTGACGTCGACGTTCAATTGAATCAACAACATTTTTTTCTCAGTGTGCGGACGCCCATGGTTGTGCTTATATAGATGATTTTAAAATTAGCTATAATAGATAAAACTGAGATGAAAATATGTAGTTATCTTACAATTAGACAAGATGAAGATTTTATTTTAAATATATTTAAATAAAAAATAAAATTATATGGCGATTTATGTAGATAATTTCCAGACCATATTTATGTAAACGTATAAAAAAATATAAATTATAAAAAATAGATATAAAAATATTTATTGCTTGTTGGTTAAGTTCTGCTACTTAATAAAATATTTAAATATTTTTATATTACCACTTTTAAATCAAATTATTTGAACATTATTCTAGATAATTTAATAAAGATAACACTTTTTTCATCTAAGATACAAGATATAGATAATACATATTTTATTATCTATATAAAAATCTATATAAAAATAAGATGACGCCAAAACTTCATCTAGATGATCATCTATATAATTTGAATCAGGTAACAGCAAACACATTGGTCATTCGCTTTAAATAAATACACAAATATTTGGAATTCCCTTTTTTAACGGGAATCTATTTATTATATTTAAGCTAACATAATTGTTGCAACAATAAAATTTACGAAATTTTTCTTTTTAACAACTTTCGATATTCTGCGTTGAGAGAAGACTTAAGAAGAAGAGTTGTACACGAAAAAAAAATTGATGGATTTATTTAATCCGCGCGGTATAGAAAAAAAAGGAAAAAAAGGAAAGACAGATTTCTCAACGTTCTATTTTCGACTGAGATAAGAAGATTTAAATTATTCACACATTTATTCCGTGCTCGTGTGCTTGGTTTTCGTACTTGTGAGAGTATTCGCCAGTAGGATCGTACTTCTTCTTAAGTTGGTCCCATGTTGCTGGTTTCTGTAACAAATAAGACATAAGGTCAAATAAGCAATTGTTCCTTTTATAATAAGAAATTTACAAGATTGCCTTTATCGACAGAACGTCGACAAAACTATCCGTATAAAGCCGTATAAAGATTTTTATCCCAAAACAGTTACCTCACTTTCTTTCGTTTTAAACGCTTCTTATATTATTTTGTGAAATTCATTAAAATCAACTCGAGCACAAATCGTAAAAGTACGATTAAACCCATTTAATATTTTAAAAATCCCTGTACAGACTTTAAAAGAAAAATCTTTATGTAGACTTCTTAGACGGCGCTTAAAGCATTGACGTAAAAAATATATTTAATGTTTCAAGAACCGGGCGAAGTACGGCGAACGTAACGCGAACCGGATTGAAAACCCTCCAAGAGGAATCCGATAGAAGGGGAAACCCTCCCCCTCCCCACCCCCCTCGGGAAAGTAAAATCAGTTTCCGAAGGAGGAGATTCACGCGAGGATCGACAAGGGTGCAGGCGAATTCGCATCGCCGTTAAATTATTTGGCTACGGACGCGAAAGTTTTCCAGGCGCAACGAATCACTGGGAGACACCCTCATCCCCTTTTATTTTTTCCCTCCTCGTCGTCTACTACCCCGACAATCCGAAGAGCATTAACCCGTCTCTGCATGAAAGTCTAACTAGTTCCGCGGCATTTAAACCCGGCTTGACGTATCCCCTCGAGAGAGAAGGTTCTATATTTCTTCCTTCCCTCAGCATCAACTCATTACGCGCGACTTTGTGTTTCATTAGCCTGGTGAAAAGTGACGGGCGGTGACGTATTTGTATATATATGTATATATACAGGATGTCTCAGAATTAGTGGAACACCTGTTAATGGCAGATTCTTGGGAAAATTTAAAGACGATTTTTTCTCAGCAAAAATGTCGAGGCACCAATAATTTTGGAATTATAAGCAATTGAAAATAAATGGGTTTTCGCAAGCTAAAGCCTAGAGACCCTTTAATCAGAGTCTGGATATAAGTTAAATCAGGTTAAATTGTTCGACATTTTTCTTCAAAATCCTGAAAGAGAGAGAGAAATATGTGCTACTTCCTTCTCTCTTAGTTAATGTCTCATAACCTCTTCTTTATACTGCGCGTATGAGTGTAAAGTAATAAATAATGGTTGGATGTGCGGCAGAATTTTGTAATAATTCCTCGTCAAAGGGATATATTATGAAAATATAAACTTCCATGTATTTTTTTAAATATTTAATAATTTATTATATTTGATAGCAATAGAAATTTCATAAAATTGGCGCGAATTGAAGAAAAATGGCGAACCAATCAGAGGTTGCTATCTTATGTCCAGACTCTGATTAGAGGGTCTCTAACTAAGCCTTGTGGCAATATTAAAAAAATTTCTTCACATTCTTCAATTAATTTTAGGTAGAGTTTACTTTAATAGAATTTTAATGTAAGACTTAGTTACAAAGATACATGATTTCAAAAATTGAGAATATTAAAAAAATGATCTTCCTCGACATTTTTGCTGAGAAAAAATCGTCTCCAAATAACCTGAGGAATTTCCCTATTAACAGGGTGTCCGGTAATTTTGAGACACATACATATATATATATATATATATATATATATATATATATGTATGGTGTCTCAAAATTACTGGATATATATATATATATATATATATATATATGTGTGTGTGTATGGCGTCTCAAAATTACCGGATACCCTGTTAATAGGAAAATTCCTCAGGTTATTTGGAGACGATTATTTCTCCCATACCTTCTCCCGCCTTACCTTATTTACTAGATACCGGATAACCTTCTCGGTACCCTCTCTTTGCTTCTCGCTGCACTTGCTGCACTCGGTCTCCAGTGCGTCCGGAAGGTGTTCTGAAAGAATTGCAAACAGGAATTCAGATCAGGGACGTACAGGTACAACGGCCTCGTCGAGAGCAAGCACAGAATCGAATATTATCGTTACAGAAACGCAATTGAAATCTCCTTTCACCCTTTTTATCAATGAATCTTTTTATCAATGGATCTTTGATGAGAAAAAGTTACAGTAAATTTTCCACCCCTCCGTGAGGAACTGGATTTTAATTTACAGATTAATGTTATTTTACACACATTAAAAAATTGTTAATTTAATTATAAATGTTTCGACTGAATATTATTTTGTTAATTGAACATATAAAAATATTTAAATTAAATGTAACATATTAAATCTCTGACAAAACATAGATTAAATTAATTGGACTTAAATACTAATACATGTTTAATTGAAAATAGTAATTTAGTTGAAAAGTTTAGTTATGTAATACCTTCTAAGTATCTTCTAACCCAAAGCGACTTTAAATGTTAAAAAAGGGGGTCCTGAAATTTCTTTCTGCGCAAAATAAAATACAAAGAGCCTTTTTATCGCTTACTACTTAAGTTCTATATTATACTAAAAAAAATTTTTAAACTTGACTAAATTTTTCAACTAAATATTATTTTGTTAATTAAACATATCAAAATACTTCAATTAAAAATAATATATTAAAACGAAATGTTTATATATTTAATTTAAATATTAATATATGTTCAATTAACAAAATAATAATTTAGTTAAAAGTTTAGTCAAATTAACAAATTTTTTTCAGTATACTAATTATAAGTATTTTTATGTGCTATGACTCTAAATCCAATTATCTGAATATTATTCTAGATAATTTGAATAAAGATAACACTTTGTTCATCTAAAAGATATACATATGTAGATATAGATAACATATTTTATTATTTATATAAAGATAAGATGACGTCAAAGATTCATCTAGATGATCATCTTAGATCATTTTATTTTAGATACCCATACAAACTAGTACCCATATATTGACGGATAAGTGAAAAATCAGACTATGACAAAAAGGGGTTCAAATATATTTAAAAAAAAATAAATATATAATATATTTTCCTGAATTTTTTTACCCTCATTTTTTATATACTTTTTATCGTTTCATACTTTGACAGGTGAATTTTCCCGAATTTGTATGCGTGCACAGATCGTTTCTACTGAGACAAAGTTCTACGACGTAGGGCGGAGTTCATAATAATGTATGTTATTTCTCGGATATTCGATGTCCTGCAAAATTCACCCCCGACGTTTTTGCCGCCCCTTGCGTCATTTGCGCCAGCTGCTATGGTCAGCTGGCCGCACACCCTCGCATATCGCTCGTGAATTTTCGTGAGAGACAAGGACTATATATTCTCGGTAACGTATTACCGTCCATCGCGCGTTTTATCTCGCTCTATGGGATAGCCATGTCGAGGGAAAAAAAGGGACTCGAGGAGAGGAAGAAGACGATAAACGTGATTTTCTGATAAACGGCGAGAAAAATAAATCAAGTTATGAGTAATTAATCTAATTTGCAGAAAGAAGGAGAGAGAATGTCCCGATAAAAATAATCGATTCCCTAGTTCTCATTTAAATACATGTGATTCTGTGTGTATTTTCTCTCTATATGTATATATCACGGAGAGAATTTTCTCTTAGAATTTACCCTGAAATCGTGAAACAATATGGTATTGGAAGAATTTTATAAGAGTTTTTTTTTATTAATATTTATCACATAAAAAAATATTAATATGTACAGTAAATTTTATCTTTTATTTAAATTTTTTAATTTTACTTTACTCTCTAAAAATTAATCGAACATATTTTATATCTTATTGTAGTAGATACAGTGAAAAAAAAATTATTGAATTCGAATAAATATTTATTTCAATACTGCCTAATAAATTATTTATTTGAAACTAATAATATTGATTTGATGTAAAAAATATTTATTTTTGATACAAGAAAATCCTTTTCAAAGCATAAACATTTATTTATTTCAAATAAATGATTTATTAGCCAATATTGAAATAAATATTTATTAATTTAATTTATTAATTTTTTTAATGTATTAATATTTTTATTGTGGCAAATATTAATCAGAGAAACTCATAACATTTTTCCAATACCATATTTTCCCACGATTACTACAATTTTTAATATTAAATTTTAAGAGAAAATTCTCTCTCTGTACGTATAATATATATATATATATATATATATATATATATATATATATTATATATATTATATGTATATAGAATATATTTCAAAATATATACAATATTTTTAATAGCAAACTCTTTTATCATTTGGAGAGACGAATTTTTCTTAACGAGAAAGTGTCGAGATATCAATAATTTCTGAGTTATAGGCGATTAAAAAAAAGACCGGGCTCTTTTCGCAAACTAAACTTTGTAGAGTTGAAAGATTAACAAAATTACACCCTTCAATTAATTTCAAGTCAACTTCAGGTTTACTTTAATAGAATTTTAACTTTAGATCTAGTTACAAAGATATTATGATGAGAAAAAAATTGGAAACTCGCAAACAGCGATGACCTTCCTCGACAATTTCTTTAAGGAAAAATTGACTGTAAATTTACCGAAGAGAATCTGCCTGTCGAAAATATAAAAGAAATCCGATAGTTAGACACAGAGGGGACACTTTAGCGCGCGTTATGTTTCGCGTCTCCGGAATAAAAACAGAGAGAATTTTTACGCTGAAAAATTGACATTTGCGAACCACAAACCGCGGACATATGTAAGCGCGCGAATGTTTCCTCGACGAGAGACGACGACGTGTATGTCTCTATACTTTTTGTATCAAAATCTTCTCGGCGACAATCGGCAACCGCGGGACGGTATTATTCCGTATCTCCAAAGGGAGCGCGATATTCAGCCTCTCTCAGTACATATACATATACGTACACTGTCGTTAACGGAACGACCTGGCATCGCGCATTCTTCGACCGGGGATGAGAACGGGGATGGCCATTAGTGTGCCAAGGCTGATTCTCGCGCGCGTTAGAAACCGTGTGAGAGATCGTCTCATTTCATCCTACGTGTTTTGCCGCATTATCGCGTCGTACAGACGAAAGACGAGGCAAACATTCTGTTCCTAATCGGAGTTACAAATTCGGTCTCGCGTTATATCGCATTTTCGTAATATTAGGCTCCGCACCTAATACAAGAATTGTATTATCCCAGGTAGCAAGCTGACGTCAAAATGACGTCATTTTGACGTTTAATGACGTCAGCTTGCTACCTGGGATGCAGGTAGCTCTTATTTGATAGCAATAGAAATTTCATAAAATTGGCGCGAATTGAAGAAAAATGGCGGACCAATCAGAGGTTGCTATCTTATGTCCAGACTCTGATTAGAGGGTCTCTAACTAAGCCTTGTGGCAATATTAAGAAAATCACATTCTTCAGTAGCTAAATAAGAGCGAAAAATTTTAGATGATTCTTTGTCGAAAATTAAGGGGATCCTAAATGTCCTGGAAAAGTCTGTTGTTTCTTTCCTGTTTTATCGACAAAATGTGAGGTTAGGTAAACTAAATCTATTTATTAGCTATACGAATTGTTTTTGCCTAAAATTAGAGCGCTCCGCTCTTTGTTGAAATCAATACTTTAATTTATACAGGAAAAAGATTTATCAATCTGTATAGTCTCATATATCTAGGTTACAGAATTATGAATTCAAGAATTCAAGAATGCTGTAATCTAGATATACGAGACTATATACATATTGATAAATCTTTTTCCTGTACACAAATTAAAGTATTAATGTTAACAAATGATAAAGCGCTTTAATTTCAAGTAAAAAAATCCGTATAGTCAATAAATAGATTAATAATTTATCTAATCTTACATTTTGTCGATAAACCAGGATAAAAACAGACTTTCAGACAAATTTTAAAAATAAAACTTGGTAGATATTTTCTACTAATAAAAAGGATATTTATTTATACTTCTATAAAAACCCCCATTAATTTTCTACAAAGAATATATTATCTCCTTTTTTCGCACTTATTTAAATACATCCTGTATAAGAAAACGATATAATTGAGGTTAACATTTTGATTGAAGAAAAAAAGAAAATTTGTACATTTTATAAAAAATCGCTATAGTTTAATGTCCTAATGGGGTAAAAGCCATGCAGAATTTCAATAAATCATTATATTATTTTCTTCTAAATGATTTAGTGAATGTTAATGTAATTTTGCAATATTTTTCCTTAAAGTTATCAATTATTATACATGATTATAAAAAATTTGAAATACATGGTATTTTTTGGTAATCCAATCGATCATAATAAATTTTTATAAATATGTAAAACTAGCAGAAATTCCAATTGCAATAACTTTTAAATGAGTAAGTGAATTAAATCCACATTTTAACAGTGATTTTAGTATCAAAGTGGAAACGATCTATGTAATTTTTATGCATTTTGTACTATTTTTAGATATCTTCCATATATCCTTAAACCTTCTGTCAATGCAGAATTTTTCATCAATGTATGGATACCCAGGGTACTAAATATGTGTTTTTTGACATATTGCATTGAACATTGCAGAGATAACAATTAATCCTTTTGTTAATGCATAATTTTCATTAATGTATGGTTACAATTTTATTATAATTTACTATGTATTTTTCGACACATGGCCCCAACGATAATGATTCTTTATAGCAGCTGCTGGGCTGTATCCAATACTCTTTTCCGTTATATTTTAAGAGATTTCCATAGGCCCTTATTTTATTTCGGGCTGAGAAAAATTCCAGGACATATTTTTAACACTTAAAGCTGATTTGGGTATCCAGATACCGGTTAATTGACAAAGGAGTTGTTGAAATTTCTCACCTTTAAGCTCCTTGCCGTCGGGCGTGCAGGAACCCTTATCTAACAGACAGTTGACATAGTTCTTCAGCAGACGTTCGCTCCTTAGGATCGCATCTAAATCGACATTGTCGAACTTGGTCGTGTAACTGTCTTCCGCTAAAACGCAGGAAACTGCTACGAGCAGGAATAGAGCCAAAACCTGTATCAAGTATTAAAATAATTTTTCATTAAAAATTAATCATATTAAAACTAATTATATTAATGATATGAAAAATTCAAGTAAGAAATTGATTAATATGTCAGACGCAGAAGTTAGACGCAAACAACTTATTTTTAAATATTTTTTATTTAATTTGATCTTTGATCTTTTCTTTGAATTGTCTTCAGCAGATTGATTAACAAAAAAAATTAATGTGTCTTGATCCACATTTCTATCTCTGACGTCTTTAACGAAAAACCAGAAACAAAAACGCGTGTGACATAAAACCTCGATACGATATGCAAACAGCATGCAAAAGTTCAAAGTAAAGAAAAGAAGTTTCAAAACTAGTTTATTACTATCTAATTTCTGCGCCTAGAATTTATTAAGGAATTAATGTCTTATAAGTACACTGGAAAAAAATTATTAAAGTAGTAAATATTTATTTCAATACTGGCTAATAAATTTATTTATTTGAAACAAATAATTTATCTGTTTTGAAAAAGATTTTCTTATATCAAATAAATATTTGTCACATCAAATCAATATTTTTAGTTTCCAATAAATGATTTATTAGGTAGTATTAAAATAAATATTTATTCCTATTCAATACATTTTTTTTCAATGTAGGGCGATTAAGTATCTTACAAGTGGGTTCAAACTTGTTTGCATGATTTTGAACTCTCAATGATTGCTTCGAGAAAAAAAAACAGTATTTTTGACGTAGACTCGAGTAGTTGGTATTTGAATTACTATAAGTATTTCTCAAGAAACAAGAGTAGTCCAAATCTAGATCAAGTATGATCAAATCTCATGAATATTTATGAATATTTATGAATATTTATGAAAAATTGTGGGGATAATTGAAGTGAATGTGTAACAAGTATCATAAATATATTTTTTTATATTCGTAGAATCCGAATACTACTTATAAAATATTCGATTCTTTACAATAAAAAATAAAAAAAGTCAATCTAAAATTCAAATATAACTGATTTAGATTTGATTATTTTGCAAGAATACATATATGTAAAACATTATTTCTCATAAATATTATTCAAATCTTAAAAAAAATTCGATTGAATTCGACTCCGATTTTAAGTACATATTTTCGTTTTATTATGATTGAAGATATCTCGAAATCTCTCAATGCTCCGTAAGTATACTTTTTCTTTCTCGATATATTCGATATCTGTACTACAGTGTTTGCTGTTATCTAAATAAAATTATATAGATAATCATCTAGATTAAATTTTAGCATCATCTTATCTTTATATGAGTAATAAAAATCTGTATTATCTATATCTGCATCTTAGATGAAAGAAGTGTTATCTTCACTAAATTATTTAGAATAATATTCAAATAATTTGGTTTAAAGTCGTAGCACATAAAAATACTTAAGGGGATGCTGACCATGAATGTTTTACCGACTTTGAGTTCAAGAGCTTTTCATTTTATTGACTATACAGATTGAAAAATTCTTCTCCACAATTAAAGTATCAATAATAATGAACGAGGAGCGTTGTAAATTCGTATAAAAAAAAACAATAAAAGTTAGAAAATTACAGTTTTTTTATCGACCTCTGCATCAGCTCATAACAATATTTATTTAATACAAAAGTTCTGCAATTTATTTGTGCACACAATATGACGCTTCCAATAGAGATGACATGAAAGAATAATACAACAGTAATAAAAATGAGACCAAAAGCCTGTATCAAAAGATTTTTCAATCTGTATATTCAATAAAAAGTGAACCTAACCTAACTTAAAGTCGGTAAAACAGAACAACGACAGCATCCCCTTAAGGGCCGATTTTTCCAACTTCTTCGTAAGTTTATCCAACAGGTAGCATATTTTCGTCTCTTTCAGATAAGTTATAAAAAAAGAGACGAAGATATGCAACCTGTCAGGTAAAACTTACCAAGAAGTTGGAACAATCGGCCCTAAGTAGTAGAAATTAAACATTAAGCGATGAAAATATATTCATATTTTTATATTCCTTTATAATATATATTTTCCACATATTTTCATCTTATCTTCATTTAACTAATTTTAAAATCATCTAACAATAAGCACAACACTGTCTGTACTAAATTATAGCGAAAGATTTGAAAGCGGGGCGCGAAATCTCCGCTTTCGATGGACGGAATTCCGCGGAGGATGAACGCGGAGGACTCGCGACAGCAACAACAACTCTCGGATCGGTCCGACAATGAGCAAAATGTTTGGGACAGGTACGGTCTCGCTATTCACGTTAAATGTCGAGCGTGGCCAAATGTTTGCGGCCGCACAATCACGTTCCCGAAACGCGGAGACGTATTTAACGCGCGACATGAATATCAAACGAGCACGCGTGCTGTATCATCTCCCTCTTTTTCTCGTTGTCTCTCGACCGCGATTTTAAATAGAAATTTCTGGAGGCCCAACGCGAAAATACATACAGAGGATACAGAAGTGCGCGGGTCTCTCTATACGAACGCGCGGAAAATAGAAGCGAGTTGCACACACACACGTCTCATTAGTAAGTTAAAGACGAGAGTGAACGACCAGCCGGGGGCCGCGTACAGCTCTTCGTTTAGAAATCAATTCAATTACGCGGAGTGTGTCAAACGCTTTCTCAAGCGCGGCTGCACGGAGCGTTAAGAGACACTTCTGTGCGTGCGGAACATCAAAGTCACGTTTCTCTCGTATATACGTGTACGTGCGCTCTCTTGTACGCGAATATAACGTATATAAAATATATCAAGATATATTCTCTATTTTTTGAAGAATACTTCCAGAATAAATCAATTTTTTGAGAGTGTTCTGTCGTCGAATTTAAACATTGAAATTATCGTATCTTTAAATCATTGCGTATTTTTGTCGCGGATATATCAGATATTTAAGGTATTATTTTGAGAAAAAGAGAGCTTCAAAAAGAGAGAAATGTGAATATATTACTCGCGCTGAAAGAAACTGGAACAATCAATGTCATATTGTGCGAAAGAAGAAAGGAGATATTCTCGCATGTAGGACACTTGTCTTTTTAGTTCCAAGTCATAAAATGACATTGATTGTTCTAGTTTTCAGATATCTTACACTCCCATTACGCGTAGAAAATCTGAGAAATTAACTAGAAGACCTTGAATTATTACGTAAACCCTTCCAACTCCAGTCTGGCCGAGAGAGAAGAAACAAGTTCTCGGCTCGTAAATTAAAATAGATTTGTAATCTTTAAACATTACGTGTGTCAGTTCATGCATTTTAATCGCTTATTTAAGTTAAGGATTTAAATTAATTCAAATTTATATTCGAAATAAACAAGAAGACGATAGAGAACATAAAAGATTTATGTTTTGTCCGTGATACCTAATTTCATAAGATTAATCAGAAGAAAAATAGATAAAAAGAGATCGGGGATGTCGAGCAATATTTTTTTTCTGTTTTTTTTTTTTTTTTTGAGAAAATCCAATTTTTCATTTTCGATTTGATTCCTTCTTTTTTTCGAATTCGGTGATTCGGTTCGACGAAAGTGTAAACCACCACGACAGTTTCGATGAGTTTGGCTGAAACTCGAAGCGAGGGAATTTCTCACCCCTCGAAAGACCGCGAGCAGATGGTTACGCCAGTACATAACGGGTTAATGCCGGAGAGTTAGTTGGGATGTTAATTAGTATAGAATAGACCTGTTGTAGAGAGAAGTACGTTGATACCCACTATACTTTGGTGGAGGAGCAAAAGCGCGCAAAGGGCAGCGACCGGAATGATGTTATCCCGCGGACTCGCCCAGAGACATTTCGGCGCTCTTCCAAAGCGATAAAGACCGCCGTGACATTTAACATACGAGGCTGCGTCGATATACGAGACAGGATGTGTAATTGGGTCGCGTTTTGTCGCTCGGAATTTCAACGAATCGAAAAGAAATCCAAAATTTATTTTACATACGACGAGCGTTGTGCTTAGATGGTTTTCAAATTACCTATAGATGAAAATAAAATATACAAAAATATGTAAATTTATCTTAGATAAGATAAAGATGACCAGTGTTGTGTGCTTAGATGATTTTAAAATTACCTATAGATGAAAATAAAATATATAACAATATGTAAATTTATCTTAGATAGGATAAAGATGATTTTGTTTTAAATATATCTAGATAAAAGATAAAAAGATAAAATTATGTGGCGATTTATCTAGATAATTTTCTAGATAATAATTTTTAAGCCTGTTTGTGTAAACACAGTTATAGAAAAATGTAAATTATAAATGGAATATAAAAATATATGTATTTATATTTTTATTTATAAATTTTTATCGCTTACTGCTTAAGTTCTACTATTTAAGTATTTTTATGTGCTATGATACTAAACCAAAATTATCTGAAAATTATTCTAGATAATTTAGTAAGGATAATATTTTTTTCATCTAAGATGCACACACAGCTGTAGATGAAACATATTTTTATTATCTATATCAAGATAAGATGACACCACAAAACTTCATCTATATAATTTTATTTAGATAACAGCAAACACTGATGATTAATGAAATCAATTAATATTTAATTTTGATTTGATTAATTATATATAATATACTCAATTGTAAAATTCAAAAATAAAAATAAATAATATATAAATTGCTTTATTTAATTTACATTCAATAAATTTATAGAAAACTATATTATGAGTATCATTAAAAAGGTTAGTAGAACAAGATACATATTAATATATTCCGATGGCGATGAATCACTATTTCGCAAGATAAAAAGACGAAATGTTTTATTAATCAAGATGAAAAAAAGACATACTGCGCGTTCTCGATGACGTGAGAAGCTAAAATTATCTGAAAATTATTTTAGATAATTTAATAAAGATAATATTTTTTTCATCTGAGATGCAGCTATAAATGAAATATATTTTTATTATCTATATCAAGATAAGATGACACCACAAAACTTCATCTATATAATTTTATTTAGATAACAGCAAACACTGATGATTAATGAAATCAATTAATATTTAATTTTGATTTGATTAATTATATATAATATACTCAATTGTAAAATTCAAAAATAAAAATAAATAATATATAAATTGCTTTATTTAATTTACATTCAATAAATTTATAGAAAACTATATTATGAGTATCATTAAATAATATTAGTAGAGCAAGATACATATTAATATATTCCGATGGCGATGAATCACTATTTCGCGAGATAAAAAGATGAAATGTTTTATTAATCAAGATGAAAAAAAGACATTGCGCGTTCTCGATGACGTGAGAAGGAAAATTATTCACACGCACCTTCGTGCGTAAGCCTTATTGTGCAATCCCCAGCCATTACGCACGAAGAGAACAACATTTCCTGACGCCTTTCACTCTCGTGAAGAAATTTCACCTCGTTTTCGACGGGGAATTCACTCGTGATTCGAGAGAGAGAAGACGACGACGAATTACAAAAACGTCCACGCGCGCCGGTAACAGCGACTTTTTGCGACGATATACAAAGAAGACAGACGTTTTTAATCACCGTAGAAGACTCTTAAACGGTCCCCGAGGTCGTTAACGAATGTGAAACAGCCTCGAAACGCAGGCCGAAGAGGAACTCGCTCTGCATTATTCACTTTCGGGTCTCCCTCTCTCTCTCTCGGGATCGGATTTTCGCCGAATAAAACACGGCAATTAACGTCTTACGCGATTCCTACGTGGTAGAAAAAAAGGTAAGACGTTTAAAAAGGTATTCGAGTAAGTATAAAGAATAGCAGACGAGGACGGGGATTTAAATTTTAAAATACCTGCAATCGGAAAAAAAAATATATATATATATATATGAAGAAGCAAAAGAGAGAGAGAGAGAGAAATAACGTTATCGAATCGCGAAGCCACACCTATGAAATTTCTATTTTACAATATTCACAGCACGTTGTCCTCAAACGTTTTAATTAACAGGAGGAAAATCAGAGCGCTTCGTTTTTGCGTTACATATTTTCATTTATGTAAAACCTTATGCAAAACTTACGTAAAACCATACATTTTTATGTGACAAAAAAAAAGATGAACGTAATAAAATTACACTCACGATCAACCATGTAATGTTGCATTACGTAACTCACATGTCATATCGGCAATATAATCTTCCGAGAATCTAAATAGGATAATCAATCGTAATCAGACGTAAAAAAAAAAATACACACAGATGACGTCATTATAATATAAAGAAGGATCACCGAAAGTAAAATCAGTAAGGACCCTAATAGCACAAAATATCCGAAAGATATTCAGAGGATATTCAGAGAATATTTAGAGAATGTTCAGAAGATATTCAGAAAACATCTAGAGAATATTTAGAGAATATCTAAAGGATATTCAGAGAATATTCAGAGGATGTTTAGAGGATATTCAGAGGATATCCAGAGGACATTTGAACATCGTCGGGATATGTGTTGTTAGAGGATAGAAGATGCATGAAAGAAGATAAATGGAAGAGAGAGAAAATTACGCTTACCTTCATGTTCGCGCGAAGTTTTATTACTGACTGATACTGACAGCTGCGCCGATCAGCTGTTTTATATACCCGGGCCCCTCGCGTGGCCGGACCCCGAATTCGTCGAATCGGCCCCTTCGGGGTCCCAGCGCCCCCTCCCGGTATTATTTCGCGTCCTCGCGCAGGAGAGGTGCAAAACGTGACGTCGTGCGTCACACAGGTGAGCAAATCTCGAATGTTCGCCTCGAACGTATCCGCGCGCGAATCACTCTATACGTCGTCTTTGTAAATATTGCAGGATATACACACGCGCGCGAGGAACTTCTGAATCGATTTGAAAAGAATTCCTCTCCTAAAGCTTCCGCGAACGCTTCAACTTTAATTCTGTTTGCATTTCGTTCGCAAAACTTTTCGACTTCTTCACCGTGGAAACACCTGAAGACAAATTTTTACACCCCCTCATCTTCCCTCTTCACGTCATTTGCTCTTCCCCCCTTTCTCTTGGAATAAGTAAAAAAATTAAAAATTTGCTTTTCATTTTTATATAAATATAAAAATATAAAATATAAAATATAAAAAATTATACTATAATTTATTTATATATTTATATTATACACACACACATATGTACATATATATATATATATATATATATATATATATATATACATATGTGTGTGTGTGTGTATAATATAAATATATAAATAAATTATAGTATAATATAAAATATATTTATATGATATAATTATATATATATATATATATATATATTTATATAATATTGTATAATATATTATATTATGTATAATATAAATATATATTTATATTATTTATATTATATATATTATATATTTATAATTTATTATAATTTATATAATAATATAAAAAAATTATCATACTTAAATTAAAGAAATCAAGCTAATTAACGAACAACTTTACAGTTGTTACTAAATAAAACATTTTATTATTAAAATCCATATTGTGTAGAACTACTGTTACAACAAACGTTTGAACTGTACGACAGTCTTCATTAGTATTCTAACCAATTCTTTACAATAATCAATCTAATACGGAGATATATACTTTATATTACAGTTTGAGGAAAATACAAACTTATAAATATAACATCGCATTAATAATCTATTGCGTATTTCTTCGCTTTACCGTCTGTGAAATTTTCCAGATTTATTACCGCGAATTTTCTCTCAATGTGGTTTAAATTAGGAAACATCTTCTAATTTCAACATTTGACGACGTGGAAATCTTGATCCCTTTATTATGTCATTAAATGGAATAAACTGATCTTTTATATCCTAAGTGAATTTTTAAAAATTTCTTATTTTTTATATATTAGCATGCTTACTTGTGTGTCTAATTTTTTTGTTTTTTGTGTAGCATTTCCGAAATTATTCTTCTATGATAATTAGTTTCATAACCTAAAATTTCAATCTTATCCCATTTAAAATTATAATTTTCTTTGATTACATGTTCCGATATCACTGAGAGCTTATTAGCACTTCCTTTAATATTATTTTTGTTATTTTATCTTGGTTTGTATATAATTGCCTCATTACCTGACCTACATATATATGACGCATCACAATCATTGCAGTTGATCTTGTAAATAATGCTAGAATTTTGTGAATGCTGGTTCTTGTTTTTATGAGTTTTAATAATTTTATATATAATTTTATAATAATTATTGAGTTTATTAAAACATCGATATCCAACATTCACATTAGTCTTTTTGATAGAGGAGACAATCATATCTGAAATTCCGTTAGTATACGACATAACCACACATTTTTTTGTTTCTTCTTCTGTTTCTAAGTTCGTAGTTCCATTAACGACAATTATTATTATGTCTGTTTAAAATAATTCCACTGGAAACAAGATGTTTGATACGGTGATTAATTTTATTAAAAATCAAACTGTGATTAACAATATTTTTATTATAAAATTGTGGGTGTGATAATATGGGCCTGATTTCATCACATTAGATAATGTTATTTTATAAATACAAGAGCGAGATTATTTATTGTTTAACTTATATTGTTAATGCTTATAAAAAATTATATTATATTATAATAATAAAAAATATAAATATAAAAAATATTAAATATAAAAAAATGAAAACAACAAAATAGCAAAAATTTAAAAGATTAAGCTCCTTCTCTCATAACAGTGATTATTTTGTTTCTGGGAAATTCCCCTTGTCTCTTCAAAATATTTGCTAGAAGAAAAAAAATGATGACACCACAGATTAACATGTCGTTACGGCCATTACAAAATTTTGCATGACACGAGAGAGAGAAGAGAGAGAGAGAGAGAAAGAGAGAACTTGTTAGCGGGAATTGCAAAAATAATATTTAACCTTCATTGAGTCAACCGGTTCGTATCTTTTTAAAGTTCCGCAGCCACGGACGAATTATTGCATTTCCGTTCCGGCAAAAACAGCGCGAGAAAAATCGGAGTCCCGCGTCCGGATTTAGCGCATACAGAACGTTGCGCAAATGCAACGCCTGCATAAAAGGAGTGCCGCATCTTGCAGAGAACGCGATGATGCGTTCTCTCGCAGGTGCGCGTTGTTGACCGAACTAATTCGCGCGACAGGATATGCAAGTTACGTAATATTGCATCTCTGATAATCGTGCGATGGAAATTATTACGTATATTAAAGTAACGAACAACTTTGATAATAATAAAATATTAATAAAATATTACGCGGTCAATAAATATACTCAGAAGGAAAAGAAGTGTTAACCCATAGCACAAAATATTTTTAAAATCTTTTAAAAATATTTCTTAAAATAATTCTCGAAAATATTTTTTAAATGTTTCTACGTCCGTTTTTTCATGTTTAAAAATATTTTTGAATATAGATTTAAACTAATATTTCAAAAATATGATATATCAAATATTTAAAAAAATATTATCTAAGCGACAAAAAAGAACATTTTTTTAAATATTTTTAAAGTTTTTTACATTTCTAATTCTAAAAAATATTATCACAAAAAATTTTTAATTATTTTAAAATATTTCTAAAACTATTTTAAAATATTTTATGCAATATTTTATAGAAATGTTTAGAAATATTTTTTGAAAATATTCATAATATTTTGTGCTGTATGGGAAATCAACACTTATATACTTATATATAGATATAAATGTAATATCTCTAATCTTCTTATAAGAATTTACTAAATTTTATAACAATATTAGTTTTATTTCGATTTTACAATTATCATCTGGAGAATATAAAAAATGTATTATTTTATATTAAGAGATATGTTATCTTCTATACGATATTTTTCTTTTCCATTCAAGAAAATTATTCTTAAATAACAAGATTAATATTTTTCTTAATTAAACAAGAAAATTTGCTTTAACATTTTATATAATTAAAAAGATAATATTGTTGTTGAAATTTCAGATTTAGCAAATTCTTATAGATATTGTTGCGTATATACGAGTATATAAGTGTTGATTTTACACCTTTTTTCTGCATGTGTATAATATTATATATATATATATATATATATATATATATATATATATATATATATGATGTATCACAGAAAAAACAGTATCCTTGAAAGAATGCGAATATGCCTTGATTCAAGTACATTTTATCCTTATAATAGTGCCAAATATGAATAATCTTGGAGAAAGGATAATTTATCCTTAAAATAAAAGTGCAAAATATTCATGGTTAAAGCTGAAATTGACTTCAATTAAAAATAAAGTTGGAAGGACAAATGAGGATCGGATATAAGAGGTACTTTCAAGTATATCATTCTTAGTTCAAATGTGACTAAGTTTGTTTTTACCATATAACAATTTGAAAACAAGAATATATCTTAAGGATAAAATATACTCCACACAAACTTATTTATTATTAAGACAAATCCTTTTTCCTGACATGTTATATATTATATATATATTATATATACAAATTTATAAGATAAATTAATTTCTCATTTGCAAAGTTGCATCTTCATTCGAAACCATGCATATTGTGTTTTTCGCGCGCAGATTTATAACTCATTCAAAACTCGCATTAATGGACGCGTGTATAAAAAAATTATATATATTACTCATACTTTTTGTAGGAAGCATCTTTGATTGCACCAATTAACAGTCTGCGAATAAAGTTCACGGTAAATTGAAAAAAAAAGAGATATATAATATACTTTTTGCAACTATATTATATAATTTATCTCTTTACAACGCCTTCTCCGAGAATGCTTGTTTGTCGTTTTAGAATTTTATGGCTCGTAATAAATTTATCCGACCATGCATATAATGGGACATGGAATATTGTATTATTATATCGAGAGGTCGGGCGTGTGCACCTGTTACGGACATCTCCCGCGTAATCCATATTTTACAAACGCAATATCGATAGCCGCCAGCGAGAGATATTTCCTTTGTTCTTGCCTAGAATTAACATCATTAATAAATTGCAGCATCGAGAATGACTAGCAGCTCTCGGATTCGAAGCGAGGCGTTTATTTGCGAAGAACAATTCGCGGAGATGACGATGAGAGATGCCACCCATCGCATCGTATGGGGAGAAAAGAGTATCGTGTGTGTAAAATATGCAATACAATCAGTGGGATATGCGCAATTATATTATACGATATGCATATACGAGTGCCGAAATATCGCGGGCTTTTGTTCATTTTAAAACAAACAGCTCTTTTCTGTAACAGAAGTATATTAATGAAAAATATCAGGGTCGGGTAAGTTGATGATTTTTTAAAACTAAATTAAAGTTAGTTATTAAGTTATCTAAGTTACCTAAGTTACTTAAGTTACCTAAGTTACCTAAGTTAACTAAGTTGCTTAAGTTACCTAAGTTAATTAAGTTACCTAAGTTAACTAATTGTAAGTAATCTAAGTTACCTGATTTAATTAAGTTATTTAAGTTACCTAAGTTAACTAAGTAATCTAAGTTACCTGAGTTAATTTAAATATAAGTTAAGTTAAAGTTAGTTGCTTATAAAATTAATTTTGTCAAGTTAAAAATTGCAAAAATTAACTCAGTTAAAGTTAAGATTATATAAATAATTAAAGTTAAATAAAAAATTAATTTTTGA